CCGGGGTGACCGGGTCTGCCCTGAAGTCTCAACTGAGCAACAGCAGGGCTCTGCCTCACCCTGACTGCCAGCACTGACCCTGTGCATCAGAGCACACTGAAAGACCCATGCCTGGGAAGAAACGGGCCAGGCCTGGGAACAAATACGGCCCCAACCACGGTCTCCACCTGCAGACATTTCTGGACTCACAGCATACTGATGTAGAGTCAGCCAGCCCCCCGGGACTAAGTCTCCCAGTACCAGTTAGGTCCCTGTCAACTGAACATGCTGGGACTTCCTCCCCCTGCTTCCCCAACACCCACACATCCTGATAGGGGGATCCTCAAGGGATCAGGGTATGAGTGCAGGGTCAAGCTGGGCAGGCCTTCCTGGGGACACTCTAGATAGCCCCCCTGATGCCGGTGGCACGGAGCTGTCCCAGTGACAACTCACCTTCTAGTAAAATGGAATTCAAGGACACAGACAGGCCGGGCTCTGAGTGTAGAGGTGCTGATCCCAGACCCGGGGTGTGGAGAACCACCCCAGCCAGGCACACAGGTTCTGGGCATGATGCCGCAACCATGTGCTGGAGACCAGGATGCAGCCCAGCACTAGTGGGGCCCCCCTGCACCCCGCCTCCTCAGAAAGATCCTTGCCACCTCAGCTGATCTGATTCCCTCATCAGCTCAGAGCCACTCAGTCTGGGCGGGTAATCAGTGAGTATGATGGATGAGCGCGCTTCCCCCCGCATCGCTGAGTTCCCCGAGTTTATAACACACACCCTCGCTCCAGCACTAATTCAGTAGCAAAAAGGCCTCCGGCAGCAACAGAATGTGAGAAATATAAGTGTCATCCCGGCTCCCATCCCCATCAATGCAGCAGTGACTGACCAGCTGGCCGAGCCCCTTGTCCACACCCTGTCCCCCACCAGCTCTGGGATGGGACCCTGCATAACTGAGGTGTCTGGAGGCTGCCAAATCACATAGCCTGGTTGTGGGTGTGTTTCAAGCCCAGCTGGAAAGTTCTGAGACTCTGCAGCCCGCAATGCCGAGTCATGAGTGTATGTCCAGGGTACAGAGAAGACACAGCTGTTCAATGGCCATGAAACCCAAACCTCGACAAGGAACCGGGGCATCTGCATCTTCGGTGAGGACACAGGAGTCTGAGTCCTGACCTGCAGGCTGGGCTGAGTGGTCCTGGCTGCTTGAGTCCTGGACCTTGGGGCATCCTAGACCTCCCAGAACATTCCCCAGGTAGCCTGCAATCTGTCACCTGTGACCCTGACTGAGGAGGCATGGCCCACCCTGGTCACCGAGTCCAGGAAGTGGTGGCTGCCAGGTCCACAGTCCACGCCTGCCCTGTCCACCCACCCTGATAGAAGGGACATGTGCTTGGGGCCAGAGGGAGAACGCCAGAGCCCTGTGGTGAGGGAGGCAGGGCAGACCCATCTCCCAGAGGTGTGCAACAGGAGACCAGGTGAGCCGTAGCCAGGGGCCAGGGGTCAGGGGTCAGGGGCCAGGGGCTGGATCTGTACCTCTTCCCATCCTGTTTCCTTCCCCCTCCCTGGGGGTAGGGAGGTCTGGACCCCACTGTCTCTGATGAAGGCAGCTGGCCTCTTGTTGACTCTGAGGACCCCGGGTGGACAGGGCAGCTGAGTCAGGGAGGAAGGGCAGAGCTGAGGGGATGGGACACTGGGCCACCAGAGAGCAGCAGGCACGTCCAGTGTGCCCACAGCCCCCGGCCCCTCCACTACACCTGACTTGCAGCTTGATGCTGTGTTGATCGTCCAAACACCTTAAAGCCCTCAGCACACCAGTCTGTGATCTGCTTCTGAAAAGCAGCCACGAAAGGACCCGTGGGGGCACAGTTATACTCTGACACACGCGGGGCCCATAAGTCAGCGCTGACTGGATGGCAAACAGTTCCTATGCACCATGGGTACCTGGAAATGTGGCAGCCCCAGGCCACCTAGAGATGCCTCAGGAGAAAGACCTGGTGATCTGCTTCCAAAAAAACAGCTCTTGAAAACGCTACTGAGTTTTAGTCTGACACGCACGGGGCTACCATGAATCTGAGGTGCTGGAAAACCAGGCTTGCTGAAGAACCTCGTTGTATGAAGATTTATAAAGAGACGCAGCTTCACCGAGGTCAGTTCTGAGCCATGTCTTCAGGAAAAGGGAAACCTGAAGATGCTACCTCAGTGGAGAGTATGTGGCGGACGCTGCCCCACATGGGCAGGCCTGTTACTAACCCAAGCCAATCTCTGGGGCTCAACTTAGAGCTGCTTCTCCTGGTGGCAAAGACTCTCACAGCACCTGGGGGGTGAGGGGCTGCTGTGTGGGAAGCCATTTGCCAGAAACACTGAAGGTGCTGAGACAGGAACGGGGAGATCAAGACCTCAGGTTCTCCCACCACCAGCTCTTCCATCCACAAAGAGAAACTTGTCTGACAGACTCCTCTTCACCCCTCAAAACCCTATTCAAATCACCACTTCACTGAAGCCGACTCATTCCCAGGTAGGCGTAGTCAGCTGTGTTCTGGGCTTCATTCCATTCCACAGTCTCAGCCCCAGAACCCACGATGATGCCAAAAACTCAGCACTGCCTTCAAGTCGACTCTGATTCACAGTGACCCTAGCTAGGGTTTCCGAGACTGCAGATCTTTAAGGGAGCAGACAGCCTCAAACTTCTCCCTTGGCAAGGTTGGTGGGTTTGAACCACCAACTTTGTGGCCAGCAGCCTGATGTCTGCCCACAGAGCCACCAGAGCTCCTCACAGTACCGCATAGCACTGCAGATTTTGCGATTTGATCACCCTTTACAACCCTCTGGGCCCTTGAGCCCTATTTGAATGAAGGAATCAATGAGTGAACTGCTAATACACAGGTACATACATGCAGACCCAGGCCGGATCTATTGCTTTTAGCCCCCACATTCACAAAGCCCAGGCGGGGCGGCACAAACTGTCCTCATCGACACCCTGCTCTCACTTTCAGTTGCCACCCATCTGAACATGGCACTCACGACTTCCCTTTGGCGGACACAACTCATATGCGAGGAAACTTATTATGCACATAGAGCGAGAAAATAGCAAAGCGAAAATTAAATTAGATGGCAGCCCAGAAAGTGCCCACTGTGCAAAAAATACCAGCTAACTAATTTGTTTGGCCTCCCTGGAAAATGGCGAGGTTGTCATTTGGGTCTCTGGGCCCTGGTTCCTGTGGCGCCTGCGGGGTAGCTGGGAAAAGGGAGAGAGCTGGAGTTCAAATGAGCAGCCCCCCCAATGCAATTAGTACTCAATTCTGTCTCCGACACCCCCCCACGGGCTCGTGGAGCTAATGAGAGAGAGGTGGCATGCTGGTGTGGACTCCTGCCCGCGCCGGAACAATCAATCATTCTCGTCCGGGAAGGCAAGCTCTCACCACGCTTGTGTGGGACACAGATAGCTATCCGATGACCCAAATTCACCCCAGGAGTGGGCTCTGCAGTACCCACCAACCTCAAAGGTCTCATCAAGATACCTGTCGGGCAGTGGGTGACATTTTTAATAAGGACACACAGAAGTCCCCAAGGAGCTCTGGTAGCGTAGTGGTTACGAATCGGGCTGTGAACCTCAAGGTCAGCAGTTTGAAACTCCCAGCTGTTCCGTGGGAAAAAGATGAGGCTTTCTGCTCCCGTAAAGATTTACAGCCTCGGCAACCCTGTGCAGGGTCGCTATGGGTCGGAACCGACCTGATGGCACACAACCACAACACCAGCAACAGCAGCAAACTGTACCGAAGCCAACTGCCAGGTGTTTCCCTTCGGAGCTGGTGGCTGGGTTTGAAACGTCAGCTTTGCACTTCCTCACTAAGACATTGCAGCTGTTGAGTGCTGTCCAGTCAGCTCTGACTCACAGTGACCCCGTATGGGGTTCCCAAGGAGTGGCTGGTGGGTCTGAGCCATAACCTTGTAGGTTAGTTGTTGTTAAGGGTCGTTGAGTCAGTTCCAACCTGTTTAGGGTTTCCAAGGAGCATTTGGAGAGCTTGAGCCACCAACCTTGCAGTTCAAACCAACTTTGCAGTCCAGCGCATTATCCCACAGTGCCACACCAGGACTCGGTTAGTAGTCCAGTATTTATCCCACAGAGACTCCAGTAAGCCACCTGGCTCCTTAAAATGCAGAGATGAATGTATTGCAGGAAACAACACCCACCGTGTTAGTTATTTGACCAGCAATTGTATGTTAGAAGCAAGGGGATGGTCAGACATTGGGCATGTTATCAGGAGGGGCCTGGAAGTCGTGTTTGGTAAAGTAGAGGGTCATCAGAAACAATGAAGACCTTTAGGGTGATAGAATGACACAGTGGCGGCAGCAATGGGCTGAAGCATGGCACCGACTGTAAAGATGACGCAGGACCGGGCAGTGTTTTGTTCTGTTGTGTGTGGGGCCACTGTGAGTCAGAACTGTCTCGATGGCTCTTAGCTGCCACCACCACGTAAGAGCACAATTCGGCAACATTAAATGCATAGAATCACCAGCACCATTCACTTTCAGAGTTTTCACTGCCTGCTGCAGGGACCATCTGCCTCTCACAGAGGCCAGGGGAGCTGTTTTCAGGATGACCCCCAGATTCTGCCTGCTAAGGCATCATCAGGATGGCACAGTCAGACCGCCATTCCTGTTGTGGCCTGACTTTGCAGGTTGGCAAGCTGATGGGCACCATCAGTAATGGCCCAGACGCAGGGACCCTTGGCCAGCTCTGCTCTGCCAAGTGGGCACATGAAGATTCACACAATGGACTGACCACATCTTGCAGCCCAGCCCAACCAACAGTCACCTATGGTCCTTCCTTGTCACCAGCCCACTCGCAGGCCTGCAGCCTCTGGGACCATGGCAGCACCTTGTCCAGAGGTGCCGCCCACCCACCACACCCCAGAATCAATGCTGTCCCCCATTCACGGGCATCCACTATACTGAGAGCAGTTACACCAGTCTGCTGTGATAGGTGGACGCAGAGTAGACGTCAGGGTGGAGCTCTTACCGTCTACACAGGCGGGTCGGGCCCTCGTGGTGCCGGCGATCTGTCCCTTTCTGCATGCACAGCGCGCAGTCTGCCGGGCGATTGTTCTCCGTGGCTGACTGCTGTCCCGGTCCAGGGTCACGATCTCACAGGTGCCAGCGGCCAGCTGGCCTGAAAGACAGGAGTGGACGAACACTGAACAGCTGGGCTTCCAGATCATGCACCACCATTCTAGTCCACAGCCAGACACCCATCCGATGCCACCTGCCTTGGGCTTTCTTTGCAGAGGCCAGCGGTGACCACCTCCCAGCATCCTGATCAAGCCCGAGGCCTGTCTCCTCACCTGGCTGGCTCAAGCCTCCAGACACAGACAGGAAATGAAGTGTTCTTAAATGCATTGAAGGTCACATTGTGGGAGAAAGACTGCTGCCCACACCTCCCTCCCCCCGCCCATCTGTCCAGTGTGGAGACCAGCTCAGTGTCTCAGTGTTGTGAAGCCTTGTGGATCTGCTGTCTCATCGCCGCCCCCTCCCCCTGCCCCAGGCATCACACCTGACATCTCAGATCAAAAACCAGTTGGATGGTCTCATTCTCCCTCTAAGTGGCCACAGTGTACAGACAGAACTACCCAGTGGTTTCAGGATGAGCATGTTGGGGCTCAGATGACCGTGTTCCCTCCTCCACATGTCACCCTGGACAAGGAGCACACCAATCACAGATGGTGCCCAGCACATGAAGAGGCCATGCAGCAGGTGCTAGGATGGCTCCCCACGAGGGCACACAGGTGGACGATGCTGCCTGATGGACTGCACCTGGGGGTTCTGCCATGTCCCAGAACACCCAGGTGCAGCCCTCAGGCCTTGGCCAGGCACGGGACACCCCAGGTATGTGGGGGAATCTATGTTAACACTCCTCTCTTGACGATTACAGCTCATGTGTTTCCCCGGGTCCCTCATCCCTATTTCTCATATATCCCAAGGAGAACGCCGGTCTCACGTGGCGGAACCGTGGACCCACTGGGGATCTAAGGGTAATGTGCTCTGTGCATGGGCACTGCCCACCAACACCACTATATACAGACAGGCGCGAAGTGAGAACGAGGAATGGCTTGCCTCTCAGGAGGACATGGGCTGGTCTCTGCTTTCCCATCACCCCTAACGCCACCCTGTTTTGGCTGTCCAGATCTCTGATGGGCGCCTGGTCCAGCCCACCCTAGCTGGTCCCCAAGCAGAACAATCAATCCCACAGACCTGTGACTGAACCCCAGTGCCCAGCGCAGTGGAGGGCCCCTGGGAGGACCAGAATGGCCCGGGAGATGGACGTGTGGACAACAGGGTTAAAGAGGAGCCATCACTGGATACAGGGGTCCCCCACCACCCACAGCCGCCCTCTGTGCTAGGCAGTGGTCCAAAGCCATGGCCACTTCCACAAAGGTGATCTCCATTAGCAGACCCCGGAAAGAGGGGTTGGCCAGCAGCAATGAGATGACTTTTCTTAGGACCAGGGTGTTCCTGGGGGGCTCCTGGGGAAGCTGTGGCTCTCTGTCCCTGTCACAGGCCCGCCTCCAGAGCTATTTTCAGCTCTGCAGGTTGATGCGGCGGGCTGCTATTCCTGGCCACCGAGACTCAGACTCTATCGTGACGTCAGCCCAGGCAGATGCAACCCTGTCCCCTAGCAGCCAGCACGGGCCCTGCCCTGGGAAGGAAGCAGCAGTATTGGAGGTCTGGGGTCACGGGGACCCAGGCACTCACAGGCTGATGACCACCTGAACTACCTCCTTATGGGACATCGCCAGTCACCAGACAACAGTGCTGATTTGGGGGGAGCACACCCCAGGCCGAGTCTGAGAGCCCAGGCCATCTCCTCCCTCAACTGTCACTTAAGTCTTGTCCTTCAGGCCCCACAATTCTCTACAGTGCCCCTATGGTCAGTGCTGGTGCTCAGGACAAAGCCACCCTGTGGGCAGCAAGCCTCACATAGATGCAGAGCCATGGAGTGAGGGGCATCACACGCTCCTGCTGATTCATGTATCGGTGAAATATTCCCCAGCTTACTGATGTATCAATGAAGGGCCCGGGTTTATTCATTTATGAACCAAGCATCACCTTTTATTAATCTATTCAAGAAATGCCCCTGTTTATTAATTTATTAGCCACACATCTCCCTTTTAATTTTTAATGGCATGGCCCCCAACTTACTGGTTTCTTACCGACATTTATGAACGAAAATCCCCCTCCCTTACTCATTCATTAATGCTCTCCTGCTTATAAACATACTAATAAAAAGACCCCTTAATGCTCCTCAGGGAATGAAAAACACAAAACACAACATTCACGGCTGTTGTGTGAATTTCAACTCCTAGCTATCCTGGAAAGGAGCTCTGGTAGCATAGTGGTTACGAATCGGGCTACAAACCTCAGGGTCAGCAGTTCAAAACTACCAGCTGCTCTGCAAGAGAATGATGAGGCTTTCTGCTGCTGTAAAGATTTACAGCCTCGGAAATCCTGTACAGGGTTCCTCTGGGTCGGAACCGACTCCGTGGTACTTAACAACAAACTGAACTTGGAGGAAAGCTGAGCTTCTCCACATGGTCCCCAAGGAGGACAGCTCTGGAGAAATGGACTATTGCATGTCTCTCCCTCCAAGTGGCTGGTGGGTTGGAATCATCAACCTTTCAGTTAGCCATGGTGTGCTTAACCCACTGCACCACTTCTTGATAATCAGTGACAACTCACACTTATTATGAATCAAATGTCTCCAACTTAGTCACTGATTCATAAAATGTAACCCCAGTTCATTAATATAGTAATCAAATGTCCCCATTATTAATTAGATGTTCCTCAATTCATTCATAAACTCCTGGTGTGGTTCTGTAGGATCAACACTGGACTGTGAACCACAAGGTCAGTAGTTCAAATCCACCAGCTGCTCCTCAGAAACTCTATACAGGGTTGCTAAGGGTCTCAGAACCGACTAGATGACACTTAACAACAACAATTTAGTCATTGACTAAATAAATGCCCCTAAGTGTTAGTGATATGTCCCCAGTATAATTGCCTATTGATGAGAGTTCCCCCAGCTTCTCTGTTTATTAATGAAGTGCCCACCTGTTTGGTACCCCAAACCTAACCGACGCCCCAGTACAGCTGGAAGCCCATACCACTCCCCACCTTGCCACGCCCCCTCTCCATTGCCTCCTCCTCCAGGATCTACTGCTCCAACCCTCCCCCTACCATGTCCCCCTTTAGGGGGTCGAGTCTACCTACCAGAGCAGTCCTTATTATCCGGGCTACGGCCCCCAGGCCTCCTCACCACACTGTGACTATCTTTCTCCTTATTCCCCTGACTGGCCAGACCATCAGAAATGGAGGGTCACTGTGACCCCAGCTACCTCATGTAGCAGAGTCCTGCTAGTATACTGGCTAGGCACTCAGCTGTTGGCTGAAAAGTCAGGGGTTCGAACCTACCAGCCTCTCTGTGGGAGACAGGTGAGGCAGTCTGTTTCTGTAAAGACTTGGAAACCCAACAGCGCAGCTCTGCTCTGTCCAAGAAGGTCGTCATGAGTTGACACAGAACTGGCAACTTACCGCACCCCATTCCCAGAGAATCCTAGGCATCAGCACCCTGGAACACCACTGCTTGCAAACAGCAGTCTCCTCAAAAGGCCCAGAGTGGGGAAGTTTGAGAGTCTTAGAAGCAGCCAGCCAAGGTGAAGATCAAAGGCATGGAGAGAGGGTGGCAACAGATAGCAGACAGGCCCAAAATAGAGACACTAAGAAACCTGAGGCACCAGGGCCTCTAGAAGGTGGCGGTGCTCAGAGATCCTGGTGACACGGGCACCCAGATTTTCCACTGGGTCTTACCACCAAGCACCAGATCAGGAATCAGACAGGCCTCCCTACCACCCTGTCGTGAATGCTCAATGTCACGGGAAGAGCAGAGAGAGTGAGGAGTCACCAGGCTTCTGCGCCTCTGCTGAGACCTGGAGCAGCACATTTGGAGAAGGTTAGCAGTTCAAGCCCATCTAGAGTCACCTGGCAGGAAGGCTGGGCTCTCTGCTTCCCTAAAGATCACACCTTTGAAAACCCTGTGGAGCAGTTCTACTCAGACACACGCAGGGCAGCCGTGAGTTGGAGTCATAGGCACGGCACCTGGTTTGGTATTTTAGGAAGCCTCCATAGATCACTCCTAGTATGCTTTTTCCTCCAAGAGCTGATGACAAACCTAGGTCACACTGTGGTAGCTGTTGCTGTTTCGTGCCATCAAGTCCACTCTGACTCACAGTGACCCCCAAGAACAAAACACGGCCCAGTCCTGCACATGCTCACAATTGTGTTTGAGCCCACTGCTGTCGTCACTGCACCCCCTCCATTTCACTGGCCAAGCATGATGTCCTTTAAGGACTGGTCTCTCCTGATAACATGTCTAAAGTCCACCCTGGCTTCTAAGGAACGTTCTGGCTGTACTTCTTCCAAGAAGTGTTTCTGTGTTCTTCTGGCGGTCCATAGTGCTTTCAATAGTTTTTCCAACACCGTAATTCAGATGCACGGATTCTCCTCTGGACATCCTAACTCATTGTCCAGCATTCACTTAGATATGAGGGGACTGAAAATGCCGTCCGTGGCTTGGGTCACAAGTACCTTAGGCCCCCGAGTCAGACTGGTAAGTGTCAAATAAATGGGCAGGGTGCATTAACAACTAGGGCTTGAAAGCCATCATCTGCTTCCGAACTCCGGAGCCTCCCAGGAATGATCAGAGCAGACATTCATAGAGCCCATCTCTGGCTTTGCCTCCTAGGCCAGCGAGGGCCACCACAAAGCAGCCCCTGACACTAAGAACCCCATTCTCGTCTCCTGCCCATAAGAAGAGCTGAAGACTGTGACTGCCATTGGGTGATGGAGAAGCTTGATCAAGCCTTTGCAAAGACTCAGGCCTCACTCACTGGCTGTCTCAATCACTGTTCCGTGAACAGTGCACACAGGTCTCCTTAGGCCTCCCAGAGCTCAAGCAGAGCTGCAGAGGCCCATTGAGGTTGTCCTATTGGGGTTGTCCCAGTGGGTATGTTCCACTGAGGTTGTCCCATTGGGGAGGCTCCACTGAGGTTGTCCCATTGAGAACGTTCCACTGAGGTTGTTCATTGGGGACATTCCTCTGAGGTTGTTCCACTGGGG